TATGGAAGTTTCTAACTGAAACTATGGAGTCATTCATGATAACGGATGATGAAGAGTTTGCTTCATCAGAGCAGGATTAAGTCAGTCTCCAATATAATATAAAAGAAACAAGAGATAGTATTAAAAGCTGGAATTCATGTTTTGAGAGAGAAAAACGTTTTGGATGAAATCAGAAAGGTTAGTCAGGGCTGGGGACTTCTGCAATATTTAGAACTTCATGGAGATGAGCAAAGGTAGGTGGATTTTTATCATATTTGACTCTGTGACATGTTATATACATTCTTTTATTTCAGAATGTATTCGCCAACTCATTTGAGAAATTTTAGTAAAGATAGTAAAAATTGCTCTTCAGTGCTTTGTAGACTCCAAATCTATGACTCTTTTGAATGTTACTTGATGCTGAAATGAATCCCAAGACCACGTATCCCTACCCCAGCAGCAGAAATGTTATGTCAGCTTCCGTTGTATGTGCCCTGCTGACCGCGAATTCTTTGGTAACGGGTATCAGATGTTGTGGTACTCATTTTCTCAGTCCTTCCTCCTCTTTGCTATAGGTGACATGATTCCTTCTTGCAAGCTCAGGTATATCCATGGGTCGCCCCAACTGTGACCTCAGTCAATAGGAATTTAAGAGACAGCCAAGGTTTCTTATTACCATGTGAGAGAACAACACATGCATGCAATCTGTTCTTTATCTAAAATGTGCAGTTGCTTATGTAACTCACTATGTCTTCCTCCTTGTGCAGCTAATGACTTTTATGTCAAGATATTCTTCTAAGGAACTAGGGGGAAACTGTTAGGTCCTATGTGTGAAACCATAAACTAGAAAACATCCATACAATGGCTACCACAGAAGTACTTTTTGCAAATAGTATGTATAAAAGATTTTAATTAAAACCTAGTGGATGTATAGATTAAATGACTTCTAGGGCATCTGTTCTATTTTTAATTCCAAGCTCTCAATTCCTCAAGAAATATATATTCCACTAATAATAAAACCACTCTTATTTCAAGACTACAGTTAAATTATCGGTTGATAAAGTTTATTTTGTGGGAACCACACTAGGTGTTCATCTCTTTTATGGTTGTGTTCAGTGAGTACTTTTATAAAAGTATTTCACTTGCTCTAAGAGTCTTACAACTTTAATTTTACTATATAAGTATGTGGTCCCTGTTTCAGTTTGAAAGGGTGAAAGAACATTTTGGTGTTCTTTGGTGCCTAGGAAGGGAAAACTTTTATTCTAAGTACCAGAGAATTATTCTTCCCGAGTGGAGACAGCCACCCATGTGCCCACAGCTTGTCATCCTCACTTGTCATACTGGTGAGGCCTTTCTCCTATGTGCTTCCATATAAGATTATGGAGGATTCTAGTATATATATATATAAATTATATATATAAATATATATATATATATATATAAAATCCTCCCAGGATAGAGAGATAGAGATAGAGATAGAGATAGAGATAGAGATAGAGATAGAGATGATAGAGATAGAGATAGATATCCTGGGAGGATTCTAGTAGCAGCAGCTAACACATTCTATGTTTTTCCTGTTAATTCAACAGTAGCAAAGAAGGAAACTAGAATTGTTCATTCATCCTTATGTATGGATATATCAAAATGCAACTATCTTCGCAAGGAGCTTTCTTGCAAACACCATCACCTTTAACTACATATAATACAATTGTATGTTCACCATTATGGCATTATACTACTACAGAGTGAGGGAAAAAGTATTTTATCAACATTTAAAACTGCTGAAAAACAGCTGACTCTGGTGCACCAACAGAAAGGCAAGAATAAAGAGTATGACAACCCAAATACTAAAATTTCTTACTCTCATATAGCTGGTTCTGCCATGCAAAACATACTCTCGTTATTGTCCTCCTTAATCCCCAGAACTCCTGTGAGATATAGGGGGGGAAAATGTCATAAAAAAGGTGACTTCTCCAACATGAAAAATTCTAAAGGCCAGCTGTCCGGTATTGTGCTTTCAGTTAATAATACTGTACCATACACTTAAATGCTTGCTAAAAGATTGGGGCTCCTGGGTGGCTCAGTTCATTAAGCATCCCACTCTTGATTTCAGCTCAGGTCGTGATCTCAGGGATGTGAGATCCAGCCCAGCACTGGGCTCCACACTGGACATGGAGCTTAAGATTCTCTCCCTCCCCCTCTGCCCCTCCTTACCCCACCCCCACCTGTCACTCACATTCTCTCTCAAAACAAAGCAAAAACAAAAACAGAAAAAACCCAAGCACCTACAAATGTTTTAAATTTATGAGAAGTGCTTAAATGTACAGTCGCAAAGGTAAGAAAGTGTCATGCGGAAAATTATCTTCACACAAAAGTAACCTCCAAGTACAAGTATGCTACCAGACAAACTACCCCAGAGATGAGGGAACAGAAAGGCTCACAGAACAAATTGAATGACTTGAGCTAATTTAGAGCACATAGCACAAAGCAAAGCAAAAGAGATGGGTGCTTAACTGGCCAAGGATATAATGCAATTAAAGTGAAAGGACACTACCTGATTCTTGGGGTTTGCAGTGTTCGTGGTGTGAGGATGGTATGAACACAAGGACAAAAATAGGTCTGAATGTGCCTTGCAAGGGCAGAGGGACTCATGGGGCCATGATGGCAGTCATCAAATGTTGGCTGAATTAAGACTGCAAGAATATTGAATGTCTCATGTATATTTAGTATGTCATGAATATTTAGTGCCCCTCGTGCCTCATGTATATTTAGTGCCTTGCGAATATTAGTTAGGTATTTCTGCTTTCTCCCATCCCTTTCCATATTCAGATATATGATCCACTTTATCTTTCTAACATGAACCACAGTTTAACACGTAGGTTACTCTATTCATTTTCCTTTCTTCTGTAGCAGAATGAATTTTCTGAAATATAGAAAATGAATTTCACCATAAGAAAAAAAATCTCCTAAGAAGCAAATGTAGAAGATGCTGAAAAGCAAAGAAGTAATGGATAAGCAAAGGTACTATCATACCTTTGATAGTCCTGGAGATGGTATAAGTTGGAAAGTAATTTGGCAAGAGGTATCAAACATCTTAAAACATTGCAATTATTTGACATTTTCTCCTATTCTTGAATGTTATCTTATTTACATAATAATTCTATAAAAAAAGTGTGTAATAACACATATAATAGTAGTATAATATGTGCATAATAACACATAGAATGTGTGTAATAACACATATAATATAACACATAGTATAACAAAATTGAAAAAGCATAAATATGTAACTGTAGAACATTCATTAAGTGTCATACCTATAAAATAAAATGACCAAATGAAGGTGATTATATGAAAAAAGTATAGTCACATTCATGGTTAGAAACATGAAGTAAAGTTTTATAAATAACTTTGTGGAATTCATTAAATGTATAAAACTGAAATAGATAATATTTATACTAAGTATGCACACCTGTAAAATTAACATATATATTAATTGAGTAACTAGTTGAATACCTTAAAATTTCCTACAGGTCCCATTAAATAAAAACAATTTGTAAAATGAATCCTGAATTACTAAGTATTTCATGGCAAAAAGATATAAATATTATTTCAATGACAGTTTTATGTATGTACCTCTTTGTGTCTTAAAGGAGTTAAAGAGGCCTAATTTCCCTGTGTATTATTTCTTCTTCTTTCTAATTTCAGCGGAAATTTAAAACATGAAAAAAAGAATTTAAAACCTCCAAGGAGTGTATTTAGTCCTTAAAATAGGCCAATGAAATAAAGAGTACCCAAGAGAGAGTAAGAACTCTTACCAAAAAGTCAGCTTAGACGAGGCATTGAAGTAAATGTGATCTTTATTTTTTTTTTAACCTTTATATTTTTTAAAATTAGAGTACAACGAATAAAATGCTGCCTACAATTCAAACCCAGGTGAAAAGAATGGGTCTTATGGAAGAAAAAAGAAAACACTTTCTTCATAATTTTAAGTATATATCCATGTGAAAACATATCATTTAAATTTCAAAAGTAATTTTTGACATAAATTTACCTTTTGTAATCAAGTGGAATATATATATATATACATATATGTGTATATATATATATATATAATGGTATATAACATATAATGGTACAAGAAAATTAGAATTCATTTCTCCTTTTCACATAAAAACATGACTGAAATAATTTAAACATTTAAAGAAAACATTATAGAAATATAAACTATCCTACATTTTGATATAGTTTTGACTATTCTAAATTTGAAAATTTAGACAAAATCATAGGATGTATAACTTTCACAGAACTGAACAAATATGTGGAAAAAGGGAATATACATATATTTTCTTGTTCTCTCCTCAAAATTTAGTAATAATTAAAGAATTATGTCAGAAGAAATGAATAATGCAGAGTTATCTAAAGCATTCTGCTGTGTTTATAATTTGATTTTATTTTTTAATAAAATGTACTAAGTCTACACAGTGCCATGCACATAGATAGAAAAAAAAAACAGATTTTTCATGCATAGGATCTTGATACATATTGACAAATTAATTTTCCCTAAAGTTTAATAAATGTGTATGCTACCAGTAGGGTGCAGGAAATGCCAGACTCACTATCCTGGTTTTGGCACTGAATATTATTCTCATCTTAACATTTACCAATATGATAGACAAGGCCAAATGTTTCAGTATTTTTATTTTAATTTTTTTGGTTACTAGAAACTTGAATAATTTTTGATCTGTTAATTGGTTATTTATATTTTCTTCCTTGTGGTCTTTACTCATTTTATGTGGAGTAACTAATGTTTTTAATTTCCTTTGATTTATGAGACAACATTAAGTATTGAAGACATCACACTTATTACCTCCAAAGAAATATGTTCTAGAGGGTCACAAATTTTATTTCATACCAGAAATCAAATATTTCAATTTTTGTACATTCCCATATATCTTTAAATGTTAAATGTATTTCTTTTGCAGCTCTAGACTTTTTTTTTTTTTTTTTTTTTTTTTTTAAGGAGCACTGGGACCCACGATTACCAGCTGCCCAGGTACCAAAAAATTATGCTTCCGAAATCTTTTGATGTCAATTCCTCACGAAGAGCAATGGAGCTGTCCTACGTAATATTTTGTGTTCAATACAGATGTGAAAAAGAATACTTTTTTTTTAAGAGGAAGAGGGCGGGGTGGGGCAGAGGAAGAGGAAGAGGGAGAGGGAGAGAACCTTAAGCAGCTGCATGTCAAACACGGGGCTTGATTTCACAACCTTGAGATCAGGACCTGAGCCAAAATCAAGAGTTGGAAGCTTAACTGACTGAGCCACCCAGGCGCTGCAGAAGGAATAGTCTCTTCTTCTTCTCTCTCTCTCTCTCTTTTTTTTAAAGATATATTTATTTTAGAGAGAGAGAGCTCATGCATATGAGTGGGAAGGGGGCAGAGGGAGAGGGAGAAAGGGCACCTTGAGCAGACCCCCCACTGAGTGCACAGCCAGACCCAGAGCTTGATCTCATGATCCTGAGACCATGACCTGGGCAGAAACCAAGAGCTGGTTGCTCAGCTGACTGAGCCACCCATGTACCCTGAAAGAACACTTTCTCATTAGCTTCTGTGCAAAGGTAGACCTATTATAATGACTTTTGTTATATTTTTGAATATTTCTAAGGCTATAATAAACTTTAAATTAGTTGTACATGCTTTGCTAGTTAAAGTATATTTATTTACACGCTACTTCTGTACCGTGTCTGTACATAGTGTCAATTTATCTATCTCTTTACTAAGGTTTACCCTTACACAAGGTGGTACAGTCTATTTTGCAAATCCTGAAATGACAATAACAAATGCAGAAAAAAGAGTGGGGCATTTTAATATCAAGCACTCTCCTACCACAGTAGGTTATCAGGGCAAACTGAAAATTTCTGTATCTGCTTTATACAAGATATTATTCTGTACTTGAATAATCCTGGAATTTAATCCCTTCAATAAATGTTTTTTGAGTATTTATTACATTCTTAAACTGTGCATGTTAATGTCCTCCTCTATTATGGATGTCACAAGATTATTAGGGACAAAAATACATATATCAAAGATTGGTTTTTCTGCATTTGTATTTATAAAACCTGAGTATATCCACAATGTAGTACAAGGGATATGATGAACAAGGGATATTTCATGTGTTAAGAGACAGTTACAAAATACCCCAAGTGCTATGTAGGAAAAAATAACCACTAATACTACACAGAATGAAAAAGGAAAAACAGGAGGCTATTTGGCTAGAGTTTGCTGGAGATGTTGATGGAAGAAGAGAAAATTGAGCTGAGTTTTTAGGCGATGATGTTCCTCTTCTAACAAAGGACATAATTGATTCTGAGAATATTGTCTCCATTAATTGTAAGAAAATCATACCACCAAGTTCCTATCAGGATATCAAAATGAAATAAGGCTTAACCCACAATCTGAAATAGGATTGTGAAAATGCCACAATCTGAAATAAATGCAAAAACAGGTAATAATAGGTTGGATAAGTGATCTGCACAAATCTTCCTAGATGTGTCAACGTGAGATCATTTCTGGACAGCAGATGATAAAGTGGGCAAACTATTCATTATCACGATTCCTTAGTGCATCTCCAAAATGAAGATATTGTAACATCTTGCAAAAAATAAGATGTGTGGGCCACCTGGGTGGTTCAGTTGGATAAGTGTGACTCTTGGTTTTGGCTCAGGCCATGATCTCAGGGTTGTGAGATCGAGCCCAATGTGGGGCTCCGTGCTAAGCTTGGAGCCTGCTTAAAGATTCTTTCCCCCTTTTTCTCTGTGCCTCCCTACCTCTCCCTCTAAAAAAAAAGAAAAAAAGTGTTATTGTAAGTTTTCACAACAAATGAAGAATATGGCAGAAAAAAAGAGATGAAATTTTCACTGAAATGACCATTTAAAGCCAGTTAGAAATTTTATCTTTATATGGAATGTGACATTTAGGACAGCCAGACAAGGCAGCACTCTGTAAGTGATTTTTCCCACTCATTGTGTGCTCACCGTGAAGATGACTCATGGCTGAAATATCAGGCTTCCTGAGAGCAAATATGTTTATGTGCACGTAAACCTTACAATGATACTGTAGATGCTTCTGGATTCCATGTTAACACTTTTGGCTGGTTGTTTTTTGTTTTTTGTTTTTTGTTTTTTGTTTGTTTTTTTTTTTTTTTTTCCTGCCTGTTGAAATGCTCATTTCTTAGTCTCCATAGAACAGGGTGGCTTTATGTCCTGACCAGCCTGGGTCAGAACCCATTAATGACCATCACCTCACTGTATTTATTACTAGTGTCACTCTCAGAAGGACCCAGTTTGGAGAAGATTTCCTGTGGTGACACTCTTAGTTACTTCCTCCTCAGCCGGTGAGTGTTCCTAAGGCTTCCTGTAGTGTGCCTTCTTTTCTTCTCACTACATTCAAGCCTCTGAACCTTAACATCCCTTCGTAAGATTTTGAGTTTCTTCCCTGTGCATCTGACTCTTCAAACTACAGTCTTACAGAGATTTGTATCTGGAACCCCAAAGTGTTGTGTTCGTCTGCCTGCATGGATATTCCAGGGACATCATAAACTCAAAATCCCAAACTGCATATATTCTTTTTCTTCCTACTGCACTTACTTATGTCCATAGAAAGTGTCACAATCCACCTCAAATCCACCTCATCTCAGGCCTCCCTATCTTTTTTGTCATATAAGCAACCATCGATCCTGTCAATTCTGCCTTCTGTGTAGCTCCCTAATTTGCTGTTTCACTTTTTTTTTTAAGATTTTTTATTTATTTGAGTGAGAGAGACAGCAAGCGTAAGCAGGGGGGAGGGGCAGCAGGAGAGGGAGAAACTGATTCCCCACTGAGTGTGGAGCCCCATGTGGGGCTCTATCCCAGGACCCTGAGATCATGACCTCAAGCCAAAGGCAGATGCTCCCCTGCTTCACTTTTTAGACAATATCACAGCAGTTGAAAATATGGGCAGGTGAGTCAGAGAGATGTGGACTAGAATCCTTGTCTTACCACTTACTAATTATATAAAATATTTAATTACTGAGTTGAGGTTTTCTCTTTTGTCTGTATAAGGATAGTAATAGTTCCCACCCATCTTATAAGGTAGTTTTAAAATTTAAGTGAGAAAATGCTTAGAAAGCACTTTTTATGGCACATAATGGTTCAGTAAATATTAGCTATGGCTTTTAATATTGTTTTAATTATTATGAGTGTGACCCACTACCATCTCGGGACTAGATCCTTACAACCACTTCTGACTATGGTTTTCCGGATTTCACGCTTCTCTTCGCATTGCCCTTCTTTATCCTGCAGGTAGAATAATATTTTAAATACATACATGTGTGCCCATCATTCTCCTGCTCAGTGTCTGCCCACCACGTTCAGTGTAAATACCAAACCTTTTATCGTGATGCCTCCACCATTCCTGACCTGTCTCCTGCTTACCGTACCAGCTTTCTTGACTCCCCCTTTAACAAAAAAGGTTTTTCAAGCTTGAGTGTGCCTAAGAAGTGCTAAAAAATATATTAAGACTAATTCTAGGATATGCCCACAGATTTTAATTTAGTAAATCTAGAGTGGGGCCCAGAACTCTGCATTTTGTTAAGTTTTTATTTAATTTCCAGTTAGTTAACAGAGAGCAATGCCAGCTTCAGGTGTACACACAGCAATTCAACCCTTCCAAACACAGGATTCTGCATTTTGAACTAACTCTATCCCCTCACAGCAAACACCCCCTCCCCAGGAGATTCTGCTATAGGGAACACAACTTTGGAAATCTTGGTTTACTGTTGTCTTAAACTCCAAATGCCTTCATCAGCATTTTTGCCTACCTGCCTCTTATTTTTTACTTTCACCTTAGCAGTTACTGTCTTTCGAGGAAGCAGTAAGTTAAGTTTCGTTTAGTATAATTCTGTGCAGAAGAGCAAATTTCTAATATCAATTTGGTATCCTACACAGGTTTTTGTATTGAGAAGATAATTCATTAAGTAAAGTTGCTACTTTTCCCAGTCTATATTAATCCATTGTTACCTTAATGTTTCCATTTCTCATGGGTTTGGTTGGTCAGAGTGAGCAACACTTTCCTGAAAGCTGAATCCTCCGAGGCAAGCGATATAAGTGACATAATTAATATTTACAAACGAAGTGTAGCTCCTTACATTGAATATATCTTGTGAAGTATCACCTAGACACAGAACAGAAAGGAAACCCATCTCTCTTACGTTTTGCTTATTTTCGACAACATCTGGGATGAAACAGGACCATTCCCTCTCCACATCCAATGGCTTTGTAACTTTTCAACAACAATGTCATTTCTGTTTACAGCACTACTCAACCATTTAAGACATAGAACTCATGAGAATAAATTTTACCAATTGTTATTTTCCCCTTTACAAGAGTAATCCTTCCTATGCAGTTGATTTTGTTTAAATTTTACTTTTTGATCTGTGCTCATTTTCCCTCAGGTCATAAGTAATTTGACAGCCAGGTATGTGTGCATGTGTGCTAGAGAGAGAGAACTTGTGGGTGATTTATTTTTTTTTAAACACTTCCCAGTAAAATCTCTAAGATTTTGCTTTTATTCTCCCCACATTTGATGGATATAAACATGAAGATTAGAATCGTGATAGGCTGTTGAATAGTTTATCTGTTTGTAGTTTAGCTTCAAATATATGACTCTAAAATTCAGAATAGATACATCACTTGGTGTAGTTCAGATAATTGATTCATAAGTCAGCTACATCAGGCAGGTTTTGATGGTATCTTTATAAATAGGCCGGAGCTTTCAAATGCCTGATGGTATCTCTCATGCTGACATGAAAGGCATTTAGAGGTTGGAATATGCTACCGGTACAACTTGTATTCTAGATACAGTTCACGAGGCCTATTAACTTCCTATCGTACAAGGAACAAAATATCACTGAAACTAATAAATTTAATGGTGATACAAGAAATGCTTTTATAACTGTGTTTTAAAGGAGCAGGGTGAGATAACAACTTTTATATTAGATACTTTGAAGTAAAAACAAGCAATTTTAATGTTAAAAATAAAAGCAAAAGTAGTAACAAAAGAAGAGGATTAAAAAAGTCCAGAGACATAGCCACTGATGCATACTGTCAAGATGATTTCCTATCGGTTTGTGAGTTAGACTGAGCCTGCCTTTGCAGAGTTCATACACTCAGTCTGTCTTCATAATTCCAGATGCATGCACGCATCTTTTATCCTAAAACTGGGTAAAGGATTAGGAGTTTCTGTAATGAGATATTTATCAAACAACTGTAAACATAAAAGTTTCTGGGCTAGAAGAAGTATATGAAACATTCGTTGGTAATTCTAAGCAGGTCCCCCGCACGCTATAAATTTCTTTATATTTTTCACTGTTACTGAGGCCAACCAGTCTGTTCCCCACACTGTGCCATCATCTTCCCTCTTACTGCTGTCCTATTCTGACTTTCCAGTCAGCTCTCAAATCTATAGAGGATTTTTTTCACTGGGCTTGTAATACTTGCTCTAGGTGCTGCTCCCCACCCCTCCACACACACACACACACACACACACACCGTAATCTAAAAACAGGCACCCAATCCCTATCATCCTAGAAGATATCCATACTCCTTTGAAAGAAATTAGAATGTATCACTTCAAAATATGTCACTTTGACAAATTAATTATTTTTCATTCAGGGCACTTAAGAAACATGTGAAAGGACAGTCAGGCCTTCCTTTTTCTATCAAAAAAGTTCTTTAGCAAATACAATCTAAAAGTCCACAATAGGAAATACACTGGGGAGAATCCCTTCCAGTGTCTCCAATGTGCAAGGTGTTATTTTCAGAAGGAGAAACTCTGGGAGCATAAACCACGAAATTACATGAAGGGCTGGGAGCAGGTCTTCAGGTGCTCAGTGTTCCAGGAGACCTTCCGCTGGAGGACAGAGCTGTAGCGGCACCTGGCGACCCACATAGAGAAGAAAGACGCCCGACAAGTGTTCCTCCCGCCCCCAGCAGTTCACAAAGGGGGCCTTGCAGAGTCCCAGGATCAAACTTCACCAAGCTGTCAAGCCCCACGTGTGCCCCCCACCGCGCCAAATGCTTCGTGTCCCAAGGGAGCTGCAGCTGCTGGAGGTTTTTGAGCTCCCTGTGGAGAAGCTGTTCGTGCGCAAGGAATGGGGGCACCAGCCTGGAACAGAGACAGCCTGCACAGGAAGGATAGGCTATCTGCGTGTGAATTCTGCAGCCACAACTTTACCCGGGAGGCTGATCTCAATCTTCACCTGCGAACGCACATGGGCAAGAAGGCCTTCCAGGGCCACCTCTGTGGCAAGACCCTCTGTGCCCAAGCCAACCTGGACAAGCACAACCATACCCATACGGGTGAAGCCTTTCGGGTGTGAGTTCTGCAAGCAGCCCTTCCCCTAAGAGTTCCGGGTGAGGTCGGTGGCCAATTGCCACCAACAGGGTCGGTCCCACTTCTGCCAGCAGCTGGGTGTACACATTGGAGGGCCCAAGGCGGTGCAGAAGTCCAAGTGCACTGAGTGGGGCTATGGGCCGGTGCACCTGCGGAGTCCCATGGATATTCACGACCAGATGGAGAACTACAGCCCACGGGGCAGCACAAGCCCTGGAACCAGCTCACTGAGGACCGTATGAAGATGATGGTGGCGATACTCCAGCTGCCTGGAGAGCTGGAGCTGGACTCCGCCAAGGTCATCCTTAAGTCCCTGCCCAGGACGGCCTGGCCTCACAGTTCTCGGGTCAGAGATGGTGCGGTGGTGGAAAGCTTTGCAAGCCCAGGCGGCAGGCGGCCCTCGTTCATCACCTCTATCCTCCGAGAGTACTGCGACGCAGGGCCCCTCCACCCCACCACAGCCTGCATGGCCCGAGACCCCAATAAACCACACCGCTTTGGACTGGGGTGGGGGGGCGGCGGCGACAAGGTGGTATTGTTCCATGAATGCTTCTCTGGTGATCTTCGCGTCTTTGCTCAAAAGATCTGCTCACAAATTCCATAACGCTCATTTAAAATAGCTCAGAATCTTTCTCCCCGGCCATTCCTGCCACATGCCTCTCCTTTTTGGCAGACTAACTTTTCTCTGTAGTCCTTATGGATTCATCTTTATCCAACATCCTGTCTAATTACATATTTTGTTTATCACTGTCTTCCCACTGAAATATAAGCTTTATGAAGGTATAGAGTTTTATGTTTTGTTTGCTGCTCTCGTTCTAAAGCTTAGAACAAAGCCTGGCCCATAACAGATTATTGATCAACGTTATTTTATTTGTTTTTAAAGTGAATATATGTGTAGGTTTCACACATACTAGGACCTAGTGATTCACCAATTCCTAGATGAATACCTTGACATAAAGGTCATTAGCTGCACAAGGAGAAAGACATAAGTTACATAAGCAACTGCACATTTTTTTTAAGATTTTATTTTTTGAGAGAGAGAGTTCACAATCGAGGGTAGGGAGAGGGAGCCCCAAATGGGGCTCTATCCCAGGATCCAGGGATCAAGACCTGAGCTGAAGGCAGATTCTTAACCAACTGAGCCACCCAGGGGCCCCAGCAACTGCAAATTTTAGATGAAGAACAGATTCCATGCATGAGCGGTTCTCTCACATAGTAATACAAAACTCTTGTAGTCTCTTAAATTCCTATTTGATTGAGGTCATAGCTGGGGTTACCATGGATATACCTGCAAGAAGGAATCATGTCATCTGTAGTATAGAAGAAGGAGGATTGAGAAAATAGGCACCATGACATCTGACATCTGGTATCAAAGACCTCGCCGTCATCGGAAGCACTTACAACTGATGGAGTCTCTGCTGCTGGCGACGAGCCTTCTCGAGGTCCATTTCAACACCGAATTACTTAGAAAGAGTCACCAGTTTGGAATCCACGAAACACTGAAAAGTGATTTATACTAAAATCTCTCACATAAGTGCCTGCAGATAAGATGCATTCAAATTTCATTCCGTGAGTGTGTTATGGGCTCCAACTGTGTGCCAGGCACTGTGGTTAAGTCCTGTGGAAGTGGTAGTGAACAGGACACACAAGTAATCCACGTCTTGGGGCTTGAAGTCATGTGACATGGGAGTAGTCATCTCATAAAGACTGAATATTCCTTCTGTTGTTTATAATAATTGCATATTCTTATTATTGTTTATAAAGTTACACTTATGTTTATGAAAAATGGCAAATTGGTTTCCAGATTGCTTGGAAAGGACCACAAGGGATGTTTCCAAAATGATGGAAATGCTCTTAATCATGATTTGATGGCAGTTACACAGATGAATACATTTGTTAAAATTCATAGAACCAGGGT